CGGGCGGGCGGACGGACGGGAGGGCGGCGCGGCGGACGCTTCCGGGCGGGCCCCGGCGCCTTCCGCGGGGCTGCGGAGCGCCCGCCCGGGCCGAGCAGGGCCGGGCGGGCGGGGGAGCCTTCCGGGGGGCTCGGGCGCCTCTGCGGGCCCGGGCAACGCCGCGCTCGCGCTCCGCCCGCAGGCATCGAGGACCTGTGCGTCAAGAGGGACGAGCTGAGCAAGCAGATCCGGCTGGAGGAGGAGGAGAAGAACAAGCTGCAGAACGACATCCGCATCCTGACGGAGCGGCTGGCGCGCATCAACGAGAACCTGGCCCGCAAGATGGCCTCCCGCAACGAGTTCGACAAGACGATCGCCGAGACCGAGGCGGCCTACATGAAGGTGGGGCGCCCGGAGTGCGGCCGGGGCGCCCCGCGGGGCGCTTCCAGCTTTCCTAGCCCAGCTGTCCGTCCCCTGCTCACCGTTCATAGCCAGCCCGACAGCCTTGCTCCACCCTCTGGAACCCATCAGCCTTTCCCCCAGGCAGACAGTGGGGTTCCACTCTGGAGAGATGGGGCTGGGTGTGCAATACTGGTCTACACAGCCAAATAAGTCTGACCTAGGATAAGGCAGATCCCTGCATCCCTTCCGAAAGGTGGATGGAAAGGACTGGCTCATGATCGTTGAGCTTAAACACGTCCGGGTGCGACATATTTCTGAGGTGCTCAGAGAAACTTTATTACAGCAGTTATGTAAATACAGAAATAGGCAAAGTTTGCTGCTGAAATGTGGCGCTTGTATAATTACACAAATATGTGTATCAAAATCTGGCTTTTCTTTCAAAACAAAAACACCAAATCCCTACAGACTTTGGGAAGAAGCAAAATGGGGCGGAAAAGAGTGAGGCACAGAATTTTGGAATAGTCAAGTTGGAAGGGGGCCATGAAGGAGCTCGGGTCCAACCCGCTGCTGTTGCAGGACACCCAATTTACAGCATCCCAAGAAGAGTGAAAGAAGGAAGATTAAGCCCTGATACAGTCAGCTCCCTATGTGGGAGGGAGTTTTTGCAGTACCCAAGAAACAAAGAACAAAAGCTTAGGACCAGATTCATGTTCCAAAGTGATCTTTAAGCCAAATATCCAAATATTTATATATTTTTTCTACTTTCCAGATCTTGGAAAGCTCCCAGACACTGCTTAACGTTCTGAGGAAGGAAGCAGGAAATCTTGCCAAAGCCACAGATTCAAAAAACCCCACCACTAAAGATAACTGAATATTTTGGCTTCGTGGCCTTGGCATTGGTCTCCAAGGGGAGCCGCACCATCACCCGGGAGCTGTGCAGGTACTGCTTAATTGCAGGTAGAACAATGTATAATAAAAGCTTTTCTTTTTCTCAAAGCTTTGCTTTATTGAACATTTTTTTGGCTAGATTCCATTGAAATGACACAGTCATGACAATAATTCAGTGAACACCTCCTCTCACACAGCTAGAAAAGCTTTCTGTTCCTTAAGTATAAAGAGCGTATCTGTGGATGAGAAGACTCAGGCTATCTACATGATTTGAGCTCAATGGCAAAAGCAGTTTAGTCTCATGGGACCGGACTGTAGTGGATTCCCCGAACTATTACTACCTCTGAGGTGACCAGACGTCGCCGCCTCTGTTCCAGCTGCCCATCATTCTCCCCTATTTACCAGGGAATGGAATTCCTCGCAACGACCACATTGCCCGTTTCGGTGTAGTCTCTAGCTTATTATTTAAATGGCCATGCTTAGGATGCTACAGGCAGATGGGGGAAAGGCTGCGGTAGCAGCAGAGGAGCAGAGAAGGACCAGCGTGGCTCTTTAAGGTGCACGTCACACGCTGTGGGAGACACGCAGATGTGGAGAGAGGACAGTGGCAGTCGGAGCTACGCAAAGGGCTTCCGGCGGCAGGAGTTGGTGGCTGCACCAGAGCTAATGCTTCCATTGGACAGCACCAGGGACCTCAGCACGAAGCCCACACTCGGCCACTGGGGCTTCACACAATTTCAGTAAGGCGTCCGGTCATTCATGCTGTGGGCATAGAAAGGAGGGGGAAGCTGCACACAACATTCTTGATTAGGAGAGACCACGTATGCAACACATCCCCATCATTTCTTCTTTCTGCATTTTCATCCTGTCTGTCTTCGACAAGATGGGGTATATGGCCATCTTCTACATTCTTATCCTCACAACAACCCTGTGAGGTAGGTTAAGCCGAGAAGCAGTGAGTGGTCCAAAGCCACAGTTAGCTTCAGGGCTGAGCAGGGACTTGAACTCCTGACTCTCGCACGCTCTATGACTTCATCACAACAACGACAAATGAGTATTATGACAATCCTCCTGCGCTTTCCTGAATCAAGTTTGCATCCTGGATCCTGTCAAGCTGCTAAGCCTGTGCTTCTGTTGAACGAAAGAAAAACTCCCAGCAGACGGCAGTGAAGGAATCACGTGTGTTGTTTAATGAACTTTGGAAGCACAAAGCGATACCATTCAGGAGGGAAGGAGGAACAATAAGTTCAGTAGTTTGGCCCCTCCAGCCACAGCAGTCAACTGAGCACGTGATCTGGAACTCCAGCTCCCTCCGTTAATAAATGGTTGCCAAGTGCAAAATACATAACATTCTTTAATTCACCACAGTACGTTAATTCACCTTGATTTGACATATGAAAGGAAACTAACAAAAATAGGTTTTAGAGCAGAAATCTCAGTCCTTTAGGAACACAATGATCACAAAGGAGACATTTACATCCCCAGCAGCAACATCAACCTTATTACTGCTTCCGAAGCAGCACATGGGGGCTACAGATACAGTACTTAATCTTGCTTCCATGACAGCAGGAAAGGACTAGTCGGCCAGTAGAACAGCTATTGCAACACAATCCCCAAGAAGCCTAATCCTCTTTCAGGAGGCCAGGTCAGCTATTTCAGGAGAACATGGTAGCAAGGAGTCATAATTGGAATGTGGAGAGGAAGGACCTGAGAGTCGTGGGATTCCCTTCACCCTCCCAGAAACTAGGCTGACTTGGCCAGGAAATCTTGGCTCTGCGGCAGCCATCTTGCTTCCCATCAGCGGAAGTTGTACTTAGCACTTCCTCAGGAGCCCTGGCGTGGCAAGTTTATGTGCACAGCTGGTCGGCTGGAGCTTCAGCCATACACAGTGAGGAACTGTGCCGACCTGGCCAGGGGGGTGTTCTGCAGCAGGACTCGGCCTCAGGCAGCTGAAGGCCACCAGTCTGGCAGGCACTTGCCAGCCATTGCCGCATGGCCAGGCATCCCTTAAAGCTATTTCGAGTCACAGTGATCCCAGAATTTGAACAACGGCGAGTTGCTCAAAGCCACCTAGTTAGCTTTAGGGCCAAGCGGGGCCTCGAAGTCCTGTCCCCCAGCCCTTGCGTGCTCTATGGCTTCATCACAACAACGACCAATGAGTATTGCCACAGCCCTTCCCGTTACACATCAGTAGAAATCAGTGCACTTCTTGCAGGTCAAACGAAGTATCCCTGGTCAGCCCTGGAGGCACAGGGGGCGCCTCCCAGGTTTTATTCCTAAAGACGACAGAACAGTTTCTTCTATCTCTTTCCACTGCTTGCATCAGCTGACCAGAACAGGCAGTGTCATTCTTCATTCTCTGCGCAGTGAAAGAACCCAAAAGCGAGACTGGGGAGGCCTTTCGGAGCATCAGCTCCCCAAGGTGAATGCTAAGACTTGCACCGTCTTCACCGAGACTCGGCGCCGAGCTCATTGCTGAGCCCACTGAAACACGTCCAGCCAACGGGAGTTGCCCAGCCAAGCAGGAGGAGCAGCGGCAGCCAGTCTTTGGCAATACATTCCTGGTCGAGTCTCCTCTTGAACCGGTCCCTGACCACGGGGTTTGCACTCGAAGCCGAGTCATGAGAAGAAACCATGAAGGCCACAGGTTAAAGAAAATCGAGCTGCCTCACAGCAAGGGATGCTCCGGCATCCAGTGTAAATGCAGGGTCCTTTCCATGGTGTCTCAGCACCTGAGAAGGGGAAAGAGGCTCGGCCTGGTCTCCCACACGGCTCCTCTGCAGACACCACGAGGCACTGAAGTGGTCTCCTCTCAGCGCCAGCTCAGAAGGAGAGGTTAGAAGTAAAGCGCCGGTTCACTACTGAAGTCGGAGAGGCTGCTCTTGTCTGCTGGGGTGAGCTGTGAGGAAACAAACACAAGGGATCGCACCCACGCCGTTCTCCTTCCGGAGGAGGGGATGCAAGGAAAGGTGGGGGGGGCGGCATTGGCACAGCACCAGGTCTCCATCTGTGAGGCACGGCCATTCAGAAGAGGACGGAAGCCAACAGAACCTGCCCCTTCAAGGAATGCCTGTAAGAGCCTCATTTTCTTCCTAAAAGCTCAGCAACTTCCATGTTGCCTGTGATCTTGGCTCCTTTGGAAGAGGCAGCATGGAGTTCATCTTGCCATACCTTTAAAAGGTACATGTGTGGTCCCGTCCTCTCCCTCCCCTGCAGCCAAAAAGAAAGCAAGAAAGGAGCACAGCAGTGCAAAACACGCACACACACACAAGTCATACCATGACCTGGTTGCCCGGTAGGTCAGCATTCTGTGGAAAGGCTCCTGTGCTTGTGGGCAGCTCCTGGTATTGCTGCTCGTGCCACAGGCTGACTTCTCCAGAGTGCTTTGGAGTGTAGCTTGATAAACCTACACAGGGAATATAAAAAGCCTAAGTCTGAATGGGAATGACTAGCTGTAAAGAGAAGTGAAAGACGGGCCTGGGACAGCAGAGGGGCCAACCTTCCTACGGCGTGGCTTGCCAGAGCCCGGAACAAGGGAAGCAGCTCGACAACTCCAGCAAGCGGACCTGGCAAGCGTCTCGCCTCCTGTTTCCTACAATCAGCTGACAGCCCCGAGTGGTGTGCCTGGACTCCGCATGTTTCACCCACGTTACGACAGAGCGAACAGACACTCGGGGCCTGCCGTAGCGACCATCCTGCAAGCCTCGAAAAGCAGGTCCAATTTATTCGAAGAATCACAAACAGACTTAGAGCCGACACTTGCGACTGCCCTCCGGCTGCATCCTCATAACCGCAACCTTGCGTGCTGGATCGGGCCGGCTCCGATATTCTACTGCTGATCTAATCGCTCGTGCATGCATGACCAGACAGCAGCAGTACAGCAGGGCAGGAAGAAGCGCTGCTCAAAGCAAAATAAAGGCCAACAGATGCCCCTGGCCCTATTTCTAGGTTTTGCTCCTGCTTTTGAAGACCACAAGGCCCGTTTCCTGAACTGAAAGACCAGCGCTGCAGCCACGTGGCCTGCGCGCCACCCCAAGGATCATGTGTGGCACCTGGCAGTGTGCCAGTCGCGTCAGCCAACCGCAGCGCAGGAAGCCGCGTCACGAGAGGGGATGGAATACCAGATGGCCCCCTCAGCAAGCCCAGTGGCCCCGCAGGCTCACCTGAGTTGGTTGAATGCACGGTACTGCTTGAGAGAGGAGTGAACAAGGCCGGAGTCTCATCCACCTCTGTGGCATATTCATCCTCTTCCTCCTCTTCCTCTTCCTCCTCCTCCTCCACCAAGGAGCTCTCTGATGGATATTCAAACATTGTCTGCAGGCTGGTCTCGTTGAAAGAAATCTTCATCTGAAACAAATAGGAGCAGTGACTAGAAGCTACTCGCAGCTCTACGTGAGCTTTGGTAGAGCCGGATTTCTTCTAGTTCACTTCATTCAAAGAAAATCCAGCGGCAAATCTGAAAACCACCTGAGGTCCCTCCCTCCCTTTTCCCTCAGCAGCACAAACTGGTTTGACTTGAGGACATTTCAGAATGATGCTGGAGGTATCGCAAGAGGCCAGGTTACAACTGCAAATATGTTAGAAGGGACCTTTCGCTGAGCTTCCAGTCCTAGGCTCACCCCGGGTCAGAGATGTCGTGATGGCACCTGGCCACCAGAGCAGAGTTAACATGAGCAGTCAGATACGTGCTGGCCGAGCCCAGTGCCTGCAATCCAAGACTGAAAGGTCATTTCTGCACTTACTGGTTTTCATAAAAATAAAGTTTCTTATTCTGTGATACAGCACTCACTTCTCATCTATATAGTGTATATGCATACACTACCAGTTACATTTTCTGTGCTTTCAAGGAAAGGCCACGCCTTTAGGGAAAAAAAGAAGTACAGGTGAATGATCAAAATTGATCATGCAAAAGAGTGACTCATGGAAGCAGATTAAAGGTATTTAAAATACTTGTAAGTCACCTTGCCCCTTTACACCCTAGGTATATGTGGATGAGCAAACAGCCAAGGTCCAGCACTGCATCCAAATGCAGAATTGTGGGTTGCTGTGAACAACCCGGGCCTGTAGCGCAAGAAAAAGCCAGGCATCCCCCTAAATGGTCCAGTCCAGCAGGTCAGCCAGCAACCAGCACACCTGTGCCTGCTCCCTGCCGGGACACCCAAACCAGGTCCATATCTGCTTCCAGGTTCCACTGAAACCAAGCTCTTGCCTATACCAGGCCAAACTGCACCCACTTGCATTTCTCTGGGAAACCTATTTTGCAAGCAAAAGTGCTTGGAAAGAAGTGGATCGCTGACATTTGGAAGTATTTCATTCATGCTGAGACAAAAGTAATCCTTTGAGAGGTTTATGCAAGAAACCCTCAAGGACAGGGCAGGGCAGATCTTCCACAGGAGCTCTTCCTTTGGCAAAGGGGTGGGCAACCACAGACCCAGGATCCCAGCGTGAGGCTCCAGGGCTCCCCAGACAGCTGAGCCCCCTTCCCCTTTCCCTGGCCCTATGCCCTTTCCCCCAAACACCAATCGTGTGGTGCCTTCCCGGCTTTTCGGCTGTTTTTTCACCACTCAAAAGGTGAAGTGTCTCACTCAAACCTTAGTCACTGGCAGTAAGAGCTTCAGCTATAACAGGCCAATATTTTTGTATCTTGTTTAAACGTTTCTCCTCTTTCGCCTTATCCTCGCCACTAGCTTCTGCAAAACTGAATCCCGTATACAAGTTGAAAATGTTTCCCCACCAGTCTTCTAGCAGGAACGAGCCAGAGATGGATCAAGTCTACTGTTAGCACCTTTCCCTTACTCACAGCCACCTGAACGGTCAGGCCAGGAGCCAGGAGCACACAGCTTTGGCACCACCTGAACATAACAGCGGACAATGGCGATTCAGTCCTACATTCCCCTCCTCCTTTTCACAGCATGAAACATAAATAACGTCAACCAGGAAAGAGGGAAATCCTTGAGTGCAGCAAGGGGGGGGGGGGAAGCACGTGAGTGGCTGTATACGCCACCTGACTAAAAAGAAAAATTAGATAAAAGCAAGCCTTACAACCTGCTGGACCAGGACACCAGTCCTCAAGGCACTCACACTAGAAACGCCAGTGCACCAAAAGAAATTTAAAAAAATAAAAAGCATTGCCAGCTTAGCAATGGAACACCAATGCTTCACACACAACTTTGGCCATAAGGTGCACATACACCAAGGGAGATAATCCACATTTCTCTTCCTCCAGCCCAAACTACAGCATGGATTACTTGCCATTCTCACGTTTCCATCAGTATTTCTGCAAGCGATACACCTCTGATCACTTGATATTCTCATTTTTCCATCACTATTCCTGCTACACACCTTTGTGGTCAGATACAGCATTCGGCAAGAATGTAACAATTAAATGGTTCGGAGGAAACACGTTCTACTAGGTTCAGCATGAGAACGTTTTTTCCAAAAAGCAAACACGCCTTCCTGTTACTGCAAAGCACACCCACCGCCTGGCACTGTCGCTTCTTACTGGATAAGAACAATAAAACTATCAGACTGGATCTGGGTCAACCTCTAAGCAGATGTAATCTTCCAGAACTAGGGCCAGTGTGAGAGAGGACTAAGCCCGTAATTTTTGCTCAGCATAGTCTTCACAGACATGCTTGTGTTTTTCCAGCCACGACTGCTGGAATGTCACTACCTTGCTGGTCCCACGTGGAAAGCACAAAAGATACAACCTGAAATCTACTCACAGTTGTTTGGACTCCAATCGGAACACCAAACACCAGGATGAACAAAGCATCCTATTTTCTCCCTCCTCCTCCTCCTCACTCCCAGAAACCCCTACCAAAGACTCAAGGGATCTAGAGTAGCGGAAATGGGAGCCTTCATTTAACTAGGCCAGGAAGCCATCCGAAGACCACTCTCTCTCGTCAATGCCAGTTCCCATTGTTCCAGCTACTAGAGTTACTTCTCCGAAAAGGTCACAGCCTAGCTCTGTTTTTGCAAGGTGCACACCCTTACCCCTTTTATTGAAGAAAATAGGGACAAGAATGGCAAACAAGTATTCCGGTTTTGTGGTTTGTAAAATTTGTTCGAGTTTGTTCTAGGATACTTTGGGCTCAAAGAGATATGGTTTGTCAGCCCAAATTGCTTAGGCTACATTTTCAACACGACCCACCAGCTGCTGGCAGTTCTTCCAGAAATTCTTTGCACAATCCCATGGAAACCAGTCTTTTCTTCCTCACTCCGAGTGAAGGCAGATTCCCTGGTAATTTGCGCCACATTTCAAAACCCCGACGACCCAGTAGCTTGCATCCCCCACAATGATCCGTACCAAAACCATCCAAACCCCACCCTGCTCAGCAATAAGACTTTTCTGCGAACAACAACGCTCCATTGCCAGCCTGTCCATTCTTGTTTCTAGCATGCTGTCAAAGCTGTGCTGCCTCGTGCCTGCAGCCACAAGGAATGTCAACCGCTGAAGAGGTCTGGCACGCTCTGAAAAAATCTTAAACCCACTTCCGGGCAACCCTACAACAGATGAGGCAGGTATCTCTCCTAGAATCCTAGGCCTTCTATACACAGCCTGAGCATGTGGAAAACTTGGGAGATTCTACCAGCTCCTAGTGAAAGACAAAACCAGTGGGCTCTGCAGTGTTAGGATTAACAGTGCGGGACGAGGAGGCACGCCTGGTGTAACCATGTAGTAATTGCGGGTGGGTTGCTGAAGCACCCAACACCCCGTCAGCTTGGTGCGCACCAAGCAGCGATGCTGGAAGACTCGTGTACTTCAGGAGAAAGTCTTTGGCTTACCAGTGTACGTGGGTTGTCAGCAGGTCCTGAGAGGTGCATTGTGGACTCTGGGGTTAGCACGGGGAAAAAATTACTTTATTACAGCACCACCATCTGAGTTCAACATAAATACAGACTCTCACTGGTTCTTCCCATGGCCTATTTTTTGGGAGGCCAACACTCAGCCGCCATATTCAAAAGTCTGCTTTTCAGAGCAAACCTCCAAAGGAAGCAGCACTGACCGCATGAATTAAACTTCTGAGCGTACAGGCATCTCTTGGAGCCAGCTCCAAGTGCCAGAACGCCGTGTTGGCTGAACGCTGCAAGGCAGGGCTGAAGTACCGGAAGTGTCCTGGGACGAGGAAGGCCCGCACTCCTGCAGGACACTTCCAAGTCGGCTGTGCTGAACTTTCATCAACTTCCAGTTAGCCAGAGGGGACCAGTGTGGGCTGGAGAAAGCCTGGTCAGCTAACTCTTAACCCACCTAAGGCATGCCCTGGAACAACAGTGGACTACAAGGAGAACACGGTGTTCACTGAGCACTCCTGGCAGGTTAATCCATAAGCATGAAATGTTCTGACCAGCAGAGTCTGAGAGGGCTTGAAGTAGATCATTTACAGGGAACACAGCCATTCTTTTGGATTTGTCGCTCTTGGTCAGGTGCCTGAACAGGTGCGAAGGGTGTGTTATCAGGAAAAACGGCTCATGGCCACTACCGCCTGGCAAAGCGTAAGCGAGCCTGTTACCTTTTTACGCCGGGAATCCGATTTGCTCATGCACGATTTATCCAACGAGAGGTAGCCCCCGATCACCTCGATCTCGTTCACGGTGGGGTAGCGCTTTTTCAGCAGCTGAGCTGGGTCCTTGCGGGGCACATCATTCCTGGCTTTCAAGAAGCTTTCTTCCTCCTCCTCCTCCTCCTCCTCCTCCTGCAACGAAGCCCTGCTGAAGGTCTCCAATCCATTCCTGGGGGGCTTCTGTTTCGGCACTACAGTAAAGGTGTTACTATCTTTCTGAGAGAAGGTGGCAAAGCCGGCGAGGTGGGGCCTATAGGTGGGCACAGCAGAATCCTCCATATCAGGGGACAAGGGACTTTCCTGGGGCACATCAAAGCCCTCCAGCCTTGGACTCAGGACTTTCAAGGGGGGCAAGTGGCCGGAGCCCAGCTCCCCCAAGTCCTCATCGATGTAAGTTACAGGCACCAAGGCCTCCAGCGGCTTCTCGGGACCAGCGGGCAGGGCCCCTCCTGGCAACGGCGAGGGGGTTTCTGCAGGCTCGGGTGCGTCTCTTCTCTGCCGGGGCACAAAGAGAAAAGAGTTGCGGGAGTTGAGGCGCAGGCTGGCCAGCGCCTGGGCTTGGAGATCGTGAGCAGGGATGGCGGCCAGGTCTGGCAGGGGCGCCGAGTAGATCTCAAAGGAGCAGCTGGAGTTCAAGAGCCGTGGCGTGGGCCGGGCCGAGCCGGTGGCGGCACCGCTCTCCGGGCTGGCACTGGATGGTGCGGCTTCAACGGCTCCCTCGGGCTTTGGCTTCCACGAGTTGGCGTGCGTTGGAGAGGGCGCTGCTGTGGCACATGGCACGGGCTGGAGGACGGGGGCTGCCGCCTGGGGACCGGGCTCCGCGGGCAGCAGCGCAGGCAGCCCAGCCCCCTCCTCCTCCGGGCCCGTGGGCCCATTGCTCAGCGCAGGCCTGGCAGCAGCGGGCGCAGACGCGGCGGGGCTCGGGGGGCGGTGGCCCCGCGGGTTCACCACGAACGAATTGGAGCCGATCTTCTGCACAAAGTGCTTGGGGCCGGGCTGCAGGCTGCGCCAGGAACCCGGGTGGGCGGCGGCCGGGGACAGCGGCGCCGGGGCCACCACCGGCTCCTCCTCCTCCGCCGCCCCGCAGGCGTTTGGCACCGCTGGCTCCGGGCGCGGGACGTCGCCGCCGCCCCGCCACTTCGCTCGGGGCGGGTGGGCGCCGGGCGGCCGCTGATCGAACTTCTGCAGCAGGCGGCTGACTCGGCCGGGCTCGGACTGCGCGGGGGCGACCGGCCCGGGCCCGGAGGGTGACCGGGGCGGGGCCGGCTCGTAGACGACGACCTCGGCGGCTCGGACCTCAGTGACCGCGGCGCCGCCCCGGGCGGAGAGGGGCCGCGGCGCCGGGCCCCGGGCGGGAGGGGGGCGCGCGGCCGGCGGGGTCTCGGGCGCCCCCTTCGGCGGCCTGGCGGTGGCCTCGCGGGACTCGATGATGAGGATGTTGTCGGCGCGGATGGTGCGGATGCCGGGCATGGAGCCGTAGAGCTCGAGCAGGTGCGCCAGGGCCGGCGGCTCCGGCGAGGCCGGGGGGGGGGCCGGCGGCGGCCTCGGGAGGCGGCAGCGGAGGCGGGAGGCGCCGCCGCCGCCGCCTGCGCTCGCTCTCCAGCCGCATGAAGAGGTTCTCCCGCAGGGGCCCCAGGCTCTCGGCCACCACCAGCCGCTCGCCCGGAGCTGACCCGTCCCTGGGCGCCGCCGCCGCCACGGGCCCCGCCGGCGGGAGCGGACCGAGCTCCACGCCGGCCGCCAGCTTGGCCCGCTTGCGCTCCAGGATGGCCCGCTTCCAGGCCGGCAGCGCCGCCATCCCCGCGGCCGGGCTCGGGCAGCTCATGGCGACGCGTGCGGAGAGGCGGCCGCCGGCGCGAGCGAGCAAGCGAGCGCCCCGGCCGGCCCCCGCCTCGGTGTGGGGGCCCGCCTTCCCAGCAGAGCCCGGACGAGCGGCGGCCCCGCCCACGGGGCAGGGCCTCCGCCCGGAGACGCCCACTTGTCGAAGGCACCGTGCGAGTCGCGGCTCAGCGGAGGGGCTGATTGGACAGAGGTCCCGCGCGCTCGCCTCGCGGCGGGGAGAGGCGACTTCGGGGGGCCGTCCCGCGACCTCGCGGGACATGGCCATTGGACACGGCGCTCTGCCTCGTCCGCGGCGGCGGCGCTGCTCATTGGGCTGCAGGTGCGCGGCCCCGCCCTCTCCCGCATGGCTGGCTCCCATGGGCGGCGAGCGCCGCCCGGAAGCTTCCCATTGGGGAGCTCTCCGGCGGCCGCCTCTGGTAACGGCGAAGCTCATTGGCCGCCGGACGTGCCGAGAAATGCGCCTGCGCGGGGCCGCCTCGCGGGCGGAGGCCGCCGTAAGAGCGGCTCGGGGGACATCCGACCGAGCTGCGCCGCGCCCGGGCCGTCACCGAGCTACCGGGGCTCCCTCCGGCTTCGCCGCCTTCCTTCGCTCCGTCCTGACTGGAGCCTCCGTTCACAGTGTACTCCTCTTCCTCAGGCTGGGGACCCCAGGGGGCCGTTTTCGACCTGGGAGTGCCTCTGAGCGTGTGCAGAGCCCTCCACGCAGCAGTCGCGCTTCCCGCTGCGGCGCGTTCAGCTTCAGACCCGCTCCCGCAGCGCCTGGTTTGCACAGCAAGCAGCCCAGGCCCTCCCAGGAAGCCATGGAGGTGGGCGGCGGGGGGGGGGCACGGGCGGCTGGGCTGCCGAAGACACCGCCCCCGGTGCTGGCTGTGCGTGTTCTTGCGGCCGTGGCCCATCGAGGCGTCGCCAGCTTGTGGCGACTGCCTGAATGAAAGCCCTCGAGCGAGTGACCTGTTCGGCTTGTCTGGTGGGCTTCCTCGGCAATATGCCTCTGATCGCAAGGGCGCACTGTTTCCAATTGCATCTGCATCTCGTGCTACGTCCTGGGCAAAAGGGTTAAATCCAGCATTGCCTCCCCCCCCCCCCCCCCCGGTTGATTTTATGGCACATCCATCCAGTTTGATCTCTGTAGCAACCTGTACCATGCACTCCTCCCCTGCGCGTGGAGGTGGCGGAAGTCACCTATTGCTGCAGCACTTCCTTGTTTGGAGGCCTCCTGGATTTTGTTTTCCTTTTCCAGATCTCCTTCCTCATGCTTTCCTAGGGGACAACACTGTGTCCCTAGAACTAAGTTCGTTTGGTGGCAGAGTCACATAAAAATGAGTCACATAAAAATCCCGACTTTCATCAGCCAAGAGGAGATATGAGAGAGAGTCTCCCACGTAATGGCTGATCTTTGAGCCCGTTCTTTCCCTGACGGAGCCACTCCCAGATACACTCCTGTGTTCAAACAAAGCAGTTTCACTTGAGAAATGAGTTGGGTTAAACCCAGTAAATAAACAAAGGCTTCTGCACTTTCCTCTTAACACGCTTCCTGCTCTTGCCTTTCGGGTCAGTTTCAAAGGTTGGAGACACATTTTTTAGAACCATGTCCATTCCATAACACCTTCGTGAACTTAAAAACAGTCTAACATTCAGCTAGTTCAGCCTTGTACACAAGCCCACAAAAGCTGCTAGTGTGCCTGAAACTAGCAGCCTGTATATCCATGGCTGTAGAAAAGAAGCCGCTGCCTTCTCCATGATCGGCTTGTTTGTTTTTTTAAATGGCCAACCACCCAATGGTCTGGCAGAGGAGTGTTTGCAAGGTACTGTTTGGATGCATGGATATTCCAGCCCTGGAATAATTTCTTCCTGGCATTGTTTAATCACTGGTTCAGTTCCAAGATTGGGATTTCCCCCACTTTTGGAAATGATGTGTTTTTAATTGCTCAGTAGTCACTTTCACTGTAAGCTCCATTTAAGGTCATCTTTTTGACATTTGCAGAGGCTGTTGAAAACAATTGCTCCACACCCTTTTTGTAGCCCTAGGAGGGATTACGAATACCACCTGAGAATCTCCCCCTGCCCGCCCATGTCTTTTGTCATCACACTGGACTTGGTAACATTCTTTCTCTGGAACTTGTTTACTAAACCACTGGGCCCCTTTTTCCACACCACTAAAATCACTCAAGCCCACACACCTCAAATCACGTAACTCTTGCTGAAATCCCTCAGTTTGCTGGCTGACAGGGTTATAACAAGAAAAACCAGAGAGTAGGTATGCCGGTGGTGTACAAACAAAAGAACATTTACATCTGTTCAGACATACAGGAAATATGTGCAGCATGTGGGTAGCTCCTGAATGGGCTACCAAGATGAAGCCACCACGCTTTTATAACCTACCAGTTACATACACAATATGGGGGAGGGTGGGAGGTCACTAGGCAGTTTGCTGGAGGCGAAACAGAGTAAAACAATCGGGTTGAATGAATTAAGACAAAAAGAAGAATCTCCGGGACAGGTACCTGAGCATGTCTCGGGTGTACATGAGGAACGAGACTTGCAGCATGGATTCCAGATCAGATGAGAATCCCACCTTAAGTCTAAAGGGGCTCTTGTGGTGTCACGTTTTTAGCAGCCATATTACGGCAGCGCTTTCACTCATTTTGTCCTAACAGTTATAACATGCTCCCTGGAGCAGGGCAAACATCTGAATTCCAAAGCTTCCCTGGTATCTCCTGCTCACTGAACTTGATTGGGGAGTCTCTCCCGCCTGCTTATTATATTTGTGTCCAAGTCAAACTCTTAGGAGTTTGCCTCATATAGTTTTTATTGACAATATTGATCCTGGTAACAAGACAACCCACAAGACACTAAACACTGGAGCACCTCTAGGTATTTTTATCAAAAAAAAAGTTAACAGCTAGCTTTAATGTTCATATTAATTGCCCATTTTGTTGTGATTTTTACTATTTAATGTCTTTATTGTATGGGCTTCTTTCTCTTGTTTTAATGTGTTATTTTTAAATAATGTAAGCTGCCCAGGAGCTCCATTAGGAGAAGGTGGTAGCATATAAATTCCAAAATACATACACTAAATACCTGTAGGTTTTCCTTGCCCTGACTTTCCGTTTGTCACAGGGTTTCTACACCCAGTCCTGCCGTGGCTTACAAACTATTCTCTGAGCTAAGTGCCGTGTGATTCTTCTGTCCTCCCTGCTCTTGAAAGCTGACCCACAAACCGTTCCCCCACCAGGCAAGTTATTGGCTCTAAGGCTGACCTATTGCAGCTTTCTTCTCCTCCGAAAAGCCCACAAACAGAACAGGTAAGCAACACCCCTCTCCTGCTGTTGGCTTCCTCCCATCCCTGCAACTGGCACTGCATGGCATACAGCTGCGGAGCTTGAAGACCTACCTAGTTATCCTCACTAAGAAGTCATCATAGCTAATAGGAAGGCCTCTCTTTCATGCCTGTCTCTGATCTCCTTTCAAGGTCCTCCCTTAGGTACTGGCCATCATCACAGCTTGAGGCAGAATTGACATAAATATGACCTGACATAAGTCATATTCTGGTTTGCATGAAGCAGTATGCATAAGCCAAATAGTTTTTATTCTTAAATAACAGTCTTTGTCAGACCTTATTCAGGTCTGAAGGTAACATCACAGAGATGAGGCTTCAAGTCCAGCAGCAACAGCTGCATAAAGAGTTACACACAGGCCAGTTTTGTTTGGTCTACAAGTAAAAGACCGTTTGGCCCATCCAGATGCTGCATCACCACCTCCACAATGTGTTCCGCCAAATCTTCACAGCCTAGATGAAAGAAGATTCCTTCCGTCCGTGCCTCACCCTGGAACATCTAAAGCAGTCAGCCCAGCAATGGTCCAGCACAGTGCAGCCGAACAGTGCCCTGGAACACCTGCACTGCCACGGCAGACACGAGAGAGGCTGTTGCCCGTGAAGTGAAGTGCCACAAAGCCATCGCTCCCTCCGACCGGCAGCCTGGTCCACGAAGCAGCCGGCATGTTGGGACTCCTGCCGACAGCCCCGGGGGCCCCCGTCACGCCGACCCACCCGCGCCGCCGGCCCGCTAGTTGACGCGGCAAGCGCGGATCATGAGCAGCTGCAGGAGGATGAAGACGGGCGACATGATGAGGCCGTACCACAGCTCGTCGCTCTGCTGGCCCAGCTTCTGGCACAGCAGCATCTCGAAGACGAATTTGAGGCTGAGCAAGGTCAGGATCCAGAAGAGGCGCAGCACGGCCAGGCGCTTCTCGCCGTCCTGGAAGAGGCGCACCGAGACGATGGTAGTGAAGTAGGTGCTCAGCCCGTCGGCGGCGAAGAACGGGCCGAAGACGCCCCACCAGCTCAGCGCCGGCGCGCCGCCGTCCGCCTTCAGCACCAGCAGCACCGAGGCGGCCAGCAGCGCCAGCGCCTGCAGCAGCAGCTCGAACGGCGCGAAGCCCAGCCACTGCACCAGCTCCCGCAGCGAGAACAGCATCGCGGCGGCGGCCCCGGCCCGGCCAGCGGCCCTGCCCTGCCCTGCCCTGCCGCCGCGGCTCCGCCGGGCCCTCCGCAGCTCTCCGACGCCGCGCGCAGCCCCACTTCCGCTCCCGCCGCCCGGCTTCCGGCGCGCTCCGATGACGTACGCGGAAGCGGCGGGATGCCGGGCCTGGCGCAGGTGGGCCCTGTGGCCGCGGCGGCCTGAGACCGCGCAGACGAGGGCGCCTCTGAGCATGCGTGGAGCGCCCGGCCCCGGCCCCCCTCGCCCGCTGCGGCGGCCTCGCGTGGGCAGCCCGCCTCCCCCGGGGGCGCCGGGCGCGTTGGACGCCCATTCCCGCCTGCGGGGCGCGCCGAGCTTCCTCGCGGAGCGCCTGCCTGTGCATTTGCCCGGCGCTGCGTCTGGAGAAACTGCCCGGCCCCCGCGGCGCCGCCACGCCGAGCCTCCGGCCCCGCTCGCAGCTCCCAGGCCGTCCAGGCCCTTGCAGGGCGCGCCCGGGGGCTCCCTTAGGCGGCTTTCGCCGCAGCTGCTCCGCCCGTAGCTGCTCCTCGGTGAGAGCCAGCGCCCCCTCGGCAGAGGCCTGTTGCCTTCAGGCCCTGCTCGGGCGCTTCTTGGGCCATGAGAGGCCGGGCTTGGTCCGGGGCCGGTTGCCAATCCCTGCTATATTGCAGCTATACAAAAAGGGGCTGCCTGGAGTCTTAGGTCTGCCATTATGTCTTGGAAACCTGCTTCAAAGCAGTGTGATGAACCTGGGCTCTTTCCCAGAAGGCTCTGTCAGATCCATCTGGGAAAGAGAACTTAAGACCATGTGGGACTTTTCCAGGATCTCTGCCATCAATGGGCAAAGAAAAGCACTCTGTGCTAGCTTGCGAGCACCTTAAATACCCTGCTGAAAGCTTGGGATTTCTGGTCTGTGCCTTGTCAGGATAATGCAGTGTCCAAGAATTCTGCTTTTTTGGCTAGTTGTACTGAAGTTATGAGAGGCACCAGTTCCTTTTTCTCCCTCTCCCCTGAATTGTCTGAAGTTGGGGAAAGTTCTGACAATAAGTACTTGGTCTGTCACATTGTTCCGTCGATTTCTCTCCCCACCTGCTCACTGTCCCACTTTCTCCAGATGGCAGTGCGGAAGATTCTCATTCTTTTTGGCAGTCAGACGGGGACTGCCGAAGACACTGCCGAGAGGATTGGCTGGGAAGCCAAGCAGCGCCACTTCCAGTGCAGAGTCGAGGCTCTGGACAGCTTCAATGTGGTGAGTGATTCCTTGCCGTTTTTCCATCCTTCCTGCACACGCTCACCTGCGACAGAGAAGGCAACAGCTGCATCTCCACAGCTGGAAGGGCTCTTTGTAAGCTGCTCCCTGGAGAAAGAGCGGCACGGGTGGTATTCACAGCACACCCGCACCAGAGCTAACCTGCTGGCCCTGTGTGGGCTCTCTCCCAAGGCAATGCTCATCCAGGAGCCCCTGGTGATCTTCGTCTGTGCAACGACGGGACAAGGGGACCCGCCGGATAACATGCAGGTCAGATAATTTCCTGGTTACTGCCTTGTGAAGTGCACCAATGTGGGCAGGGGAGGTGCCTGCTGGACCCCCAAGAGAGCCGCAGTGCCAACCCCAGACCGAGGGCAAAGCTGAGTTCTCCCTGCTTCTCCTGGAGAACTCGACATCAGGGACAGGCGGCCCAATGCCCTGCAGCTGTTTTGGACTACCATCCCCATCAGCCTCAGCTTGCGTGGCCACCGGTCAGGAGATGCGTCCAAAACACCTGAAAGACTTGGGCTGCCTGTCTAGCCCCTGGTCCACAGTGCCTGCAGACAGCCCGGCACCTCAAGCTCTGTGTCGTCTGCCCTGACTGGCAGCTACAGCTGGCCAGGGTCTCGGGCGTGGGTCTTCCCCACCCTGCCTGGCGAGGCCCCTGGGTATTGACCCAGGATGTCACGCCCGTTTCCGACCTACGCTTCCTCTAGTTACCTCCTGATCACCTGAAGTGATCAGGTGAAATGCGGGGAGGAGAGCGAAGCAGATGGGCACAATCTGGACCATTTTCACCTGGGGGCAGCCCCAGCAGAACACCTCCCTCGGATGCTTTAATTCCAGAATTTTTGGAGATTCATATTCCGGAAGAACCTGCCTTCCACCTCCCTGTGCCAGATGGACTATGCCGTTCTGGGGCTTGGAGATTCCTCATACCCCAAGTAAGCGATGCTTCTGTTTTCGAGCACCTAAAGACAGGTTGTTTGCCTTTAGGCGGGAAAGTACGCTCAGGCCCTGCTCACTCACCACGGCCTTTTTGCCCTGCCCATCCTGGGATCGGTAAAGGCATAAGGCTCCCTGTATAGGGTCAAAGGTGATGAAAATTCTGTTCCCAAAAGCCTCTAGGGAGCATGTGGGCAGGGTGTGGCTGTGCTGTCCCTCTCCTCTTGCTTGTCCACTGTGTTGGTCGCTGCCTCTGAAGGACAGAACTCCCTAAAACTGGAATGGCTGGGAATCACTTGCTTCAGTGCAGGCCTCCCTCTGAGCAGAAGCCTCCTAATTCGGCCAGGCACAGTAGGCCTCCCCCACCCTCCTCCACGGACCATTCTTAAACCATTTTTTTTTTAAATCTGTGCTGGTGCCTCTCGCCGCCAGGAGTTGCAGCACCTTTATTACGGGCTGTGCAAAGATCGGTTTTGTGGAATGTGCCTGAAATTCCCGCCAAGGGTGGTCCCTGAGTTTAGCTCTCTCTCTCACCACCAGCCCCCCATGTTCATGAGCCCGGTGGCGCACGAAACGCGCTCCAGTCTTCCGGTGCCAGGCCTGGCTTTGACTGCCTCGCTGGCCAAATGCTCACCGTGTCCATGGGCAGACTTGTGCGGGGGCTGAGCCTGCAGAACGCGGAGTCCTGGGGTGGAGGCAGCGCGCGGTCCGTGCATCAGCTGCTGTGCAGGTCGACGGGCTTTGCCTGGCGCAAGCTGAGCTGCTCAGGCATTTGGTGAGGGAAGAGGCATCGGTCGGGAGCCGCCGCGGGCACGGAGGCTGTGGGGCGTCTTGGGAAACCCGCCCCCATTGCTGGGCGCTGACTTCTCCTCCGCTCAGGTTCAACTTCGTTGCCAAGAAGCTGCACAAGAGGCTCCTTCAGCTCGGGGGCAGCCCCATAGTGCCCGTGGCCTTGGGAGATGACCAGCACGACCTGGGGTAAGCGGCTCCTGGTGGCAAACGGGGGATTGTATCCTAGCCAACCTTTTCTCGGCAGCTGGCGGGACTTGGGGGTGCTCAGGTGGTTCCCCTCCCTCTGTGGCAAATTTGTCTCTCCTGGCAGTCCTTTTACTTTTCTCCAGATCTTTTTTTTTTTTTTTTTTGACAAAAGCTTAATATCTCAGAAATGTAGCAGTTTCTTCACAGGGTCATGGAGCTGCTTTACACTTCATCAGACCCTTGGTCCCTCTGCCTCGGGAATGTCCCCAGAGCGGGATGGGTCTTCGGGGTTCCAGGCGCTGCCCGGAGATGCTGCTGGGGTCCAAACCAGGGGCCTCTGCATGCAGAGTAGGGGCAGCTCCACTGGCCAATTGCCTCTCTCAGGGGAGGATTGTAAGAAATTGTCTTGCACATGAAGGAAAGAGAGACAGTGGGGGCCCTGTTACCTTTATTTATTTTGGTGTAAAATTATTTAGGCATCCTTTAAGAAAGGACCCCTCTTGAGCCAACAGATACGATACAAGCAGTGCAGAAAGAACAGACGTTCAACTAATAAAATTTCTGCTTAAAAACAGCAACAGTCATAGCTATTTGGGGGCTTTTGGATCTTAAGGGAAGCGATGCACCAGTCCCCTCTTCATTCACCTGCAGTTGTGGGGAGAAATGGGGCAGAATGAAAGACCCCTGCATTTTGAAGCAGAATACAGGGTCGCACTTTAGGGCCGGCATGACCTGTAACATGATGGGCTGCAGTCCTCTCCAAGTGCAGACGGAAAGTCCGCAGGGTGTTTGTTCCCTGCCTGAACACGTGCCGCGTGGAGCCCTTTGTGTGCCGAGGCTTCCTTTCTCTGTCCATCTTCTGCAGGCCAGACGCAGTGATCGACCCCTGGCTTTCCAGCCTGTGGAAAAAGATCCTGGATTTGTACCCTCTTCCTTCTGGCCTCCGCATCCTCAGTCCAGATATCATGTAAGTACAAAGTGAAGCTAGCGGTGGGTGCAGAATGTGGGCTGCATCGATGCAGAATTCGGGGTGTGTGTGTGTGTGTGTGTGTTTTGGTGGAAACTCAGCACTTTAGTATGCGTAATTTAATGGTTTAGAAATCTGAGCTTGCTGCCTTCTTTGGATTTTTCCCCCTCTGCGCCTATTATTTTATGAGGCCAGTGTGGTGGGTGCCGTGTTGGACTGGGGACAGCTGGGTCCTCAGAGCTGCTCAGCCCCTGGAGCTCACTGGGCGCCTTTGGGGCAGTCACTGTCTCTCAACCCAACCCAAATTTCAGTAAAGGGAAGTTTTCTTCAGACACACAAATTCTCGCTGTCCTTTCCTTGGCCCCACTTCAGGAGAGAATTCGTGCCAACACAGGATCTCGTGCTGCTTTCTTTGTTGTAGCCTGCCGCCAAAGTACACCTTCCAGTTTCTGGATGAGGCCTCCGCCGAAGCCCCGCTTCCTCAGGAAGAAGCCTCCAGGGGGCCCCCCTCGGAGCTGCGCCCCTTCCTCGCCCGGATGGTGTCCAATCAAAGGGTGACTTCGGAGCTGCATTTCCAGGACGTCCGCCTGATTGAGTTCGACGTCAGTGGCTCCGGAATAGAGTGAGCGCACTCGGCTTGCCCGGCCTGAGCACCTGAGCGGAGGCCTGCGCTGGGGAGGTGGGGCTGGTCGTGTCCCGGCAGGGGCTTGACAGAGCTGCCAGGCTCACACTTGCATCGCCACCAGGTGAAGGGGCCGACTGCAGCCAGCACCCCCGCCAGAGAGCTTCGGGCGGCAGGGGCCCAGGGCCCAGCTAGGCTTGCAGCAGCTTCCGGGGCCCTGGCGAGCTCTCCGGAGCAGGGGGACCCGCTTCTCTGGGCAGGGGGAAGCGTGAGCCTCCCAGCTCCACGCCCCTCCCAGTGAGGCACGGGGAGCCTGCGGCCCCCTTAAGTGCTCCGTGCTCAGGGCTGGCCTGTCCTCGTAGGTGCGCCGCTGGCGACGTGGTGATGATCCAGCCCTGCAATCCTCCCGAGGAGGTGCAGCTCTTCTGCCAGCTCCTGCGCCTGGATCCTGACATGTGCTTTGTGGTGAGGCCGGCAGAACCAGGTACGGCTGTGAGCGGGGGCTGCCCACGTGGCTGTCCGGAGGCCCCTGTTCCGTGCTCACGGGCTGCCGCTGTCTGGGCACATGCCTTTTTGCTGCGCTGTTGCCCGATCAGCTGAATCTTGGCTGATTAAAGAAGTTCTTATCAGTTAGCGATCGGATTGGATCTACAAAAATGTGCGCAGAACTCGAGTAGCAGCTTTGGGGACAGCAACACCCTTTCTTTCTTCCGAGTTTCTGAAATATTTTCGGCTTTAAAATACACACGTAAGAATAGCTTTCTTTGCATTAAGTGAGGCCTGAGTATCTTGGAGCAAGTGCCGCAGGGATAAAGGCGCTCCCCTTGCTGGGCCTCATGCGACCTGGAGTATTTTATGAAATACCTGTATTTTTCGGAATGAGCGTCTCTTTAAAATGAGTAGATTGATTTTATCAAGGGTGCTTTTTTACTTATCTATTGTTTACATTTATGGCTCTCCCCCCGCCCCCCGCTCCCTTTTGAGAGGTGCTCAGGGTGGCCTGCAGGGCCTGCTCCCTGGCCTCGTCCTCACACCGGCCCCGCGTGGTGGGTGAGACTGCCTGCAATCTCCCAGTGTGGCTGAGGGTGGATGGAAGTGGGGTCTCCGTGGCCTGGCACTGCAGCCGTGGCAGCTCTTGGAAGGGCTGCGGGGTGCCAGCCTAGCCACGTTCAGGGTCTGCGGGGCCATCCTGGGGGCTGAAGGTTGTGCCTTCCGCCCACGCCCAGCCTGCCTGACGCCGCGTGTGTGTGTTTCCCGGTCTCCGGCTATTTCAGACACGCCGCTCCCTGCCTTCCTGCCCCAGCCCTGCACCATCCGCTACCTGGTCAGCCAGTACCTAGACATCACCCGTGTGCCCCGTCGCTCCTTCTTTAAGCTCTTGTCCTATTTCTCCCCGAATGAACTGGAGCGAGAGAAGCTGCAGGAATTCAGCTCCGCGGAGGGCCAGGAGGATCTGCACGCCTACTGCAACCGGCCCCGCAGGACCCTGCTGGAGGTACCGCGAGGCGAGGGGGCGAGGGGCCGCTCGCTGCAGCGAAGGCTCTCTCAGAGCCGGCCTGGATTGGGCTGATGCCGGCAGGGCTTCTGCTGGTGCCGGGAAACCTGGTGCCTTGGTGGGCATTTAGGGGCTTCCTGCAGTCAAATCTAACCATAGCCTACCTCCCAGGGTTGTTGTCAGGATGCAGTGGAAGAGAGTAGGACGTAAGCCGTCTTGAGAAGAGGTGGGATATAAACATGATGAACGAACGGCTACAAAAACCAGATCTTGGAAAACTTGGTGGCTTTGAATTTTAGCGGGGCCCTCGCCTGTTCTTCTCTATGTTTTTGTCGCAGAAGCGTCCTCTGGACGGGGGTTCCTTGTCAGGCCCCTCCAGGTTTGTGGCACTGCAGCCCATCATGGGCTGTTCGGCCGGCACACCTGGCGGTGCCCGGCCGGAGAGCTGCAGCCTGCCAGCCTCGCCTCCTCTCCTCCCTCCAGGTCCTCTGCGACTTTCCCCACACGACGAGCGCCATCCCGTGCGGTTACCTGCTTGAGCTCATTCCTCGGATCAGGCCCCGCGCGTTCTCTATCGCCTCCTCGATGCAGGTGAGACTCGAGGGAGGGGGTTCCGAGCACGCGCAGTGGGGGCATCTTCCCTGTGGGTCTCGGGGTATTGTCGTGCGCCAAATCTCACCTGCTTTCACGTATTTCTTACAGTTATGGGGATAGTTATTTAGAATCATGGCATCCCAGAACGGCAGAGCTGGAAGGGGCAGAGGGCCATCGGGGCCAGCCCCCTGCTTACTGCAGGACTCGGAGCCAGCCCTCCCTCTCAATGGCTGCCCAGCTGCCCCTTGAGTGCCCCCCGCCTGGGAGAGCCCGCGACCTCCGGTGTCATGGGCTCCGTTGCCCTGCTGCTCCGGCAGTCAGGGATGTCTTTCCTGATGCCCAGCCGGGCCGGGCTGCCCGCTGCTTGAGCCTGTCGTGCCCTGTCCCGCTCTCCAGGCTGGTCAGGAAGAGATCCTGGCCTGCCCGTGGCACGGCCCTTCGCGTCCTTGCGCCTGCGATCGTGGCCCTTCGCTCTTCCTCCTCGGTGCCGAGCCTGCCCAGCTCCGGCCGTCTCCCCAGCTGCTGTATTAGAAGCTTAGGATACAGTTGGACTCTGTCGTCGTCATGCAGAGGAGCCGCTCCGCGGGCCACAGCGGGCCACGTCGTGTCACCGGCACGCCTGCGCCCCTTCCCAGTGCCCCCCTTGCCCCCCTCCAGGCGCGCCCCGACCGCATCGAGATCCTCGTGGCCGTGGTGCAGTACAAGACCGGCCTGGTCCAGCCCCGGCGTGGCTTGTGCTCGACGTGGCTGGCCTCCCTGAATCCCCAGAACGGTAAATGGGGGGGGTGAGAGACGGGGGGAGGCGTGGCGTCCAGGGTCGGCCGTGGTTGTGCCGAGCGCAGGGGAATCCCGGCCGGCCCCTGCTGCCCGCAGGTCCCTGCTCTTGAGTGCTTAGCAGTGTTGGTTCCTCCCTATTTGCAGCCTTTTCACCCCACTATTTAACCAAAAAAAGCTCTCGGAGCAGCTTGGCTACAAACTGAAAGACCCCTCACAAAAGAAAAACTGGCTGGGAGGGAGGAGGAGAAGGAAACGCAGGCACCGGTCGTGCATTTCAGAGCGCACACCGGTATCGCTTGTGGCAAGAAAGAGGGGAGCAAGTGCTTGCAACTCTGGCTGGTGTAGCGGGCCGGGTTGGTCTCCCCTCGCCATGAGTTTCTTCGGGGGGGGGGAGGGACGCAGCCCCCAGTGGCCCTTGGTCCCCTGGCCCCCGTGTGCATCGCGTGTCCCTCTCGGCTGGCCTACCTGCCAGGGCTGTTGGGGGCATTCAGCAGACAAGGAGGGCAGCGTGGACCTTGGCTTGGGCTCCTTGGAGGACAGGCCTACATACACGCGGAACGAAAGCAGGTGCCGGGGAAGAGCCATGGTGTGGGGGGGGGGGGGGGGGCAAGTGCAGCCGGAAAAGGCCCCTGATGCTTCGAAGGCGGGGGAGGCATGGCGAGGGACTGTCCCGCTGCTCCTCAGAAGGTCTGAGACCTCTGTGGCGCGGGAATCCAGCCAGAAAGTGGAGCAGTAGAAGGGACCCGTGAAGGAGACTTGTGCAGGCAGGAAGCCCACTGCACCCCTGCGGCCTCTCTCCTTCCAGGGGCGGTGAGGGTGCCTGTCTGGGCGAAGAGGGGCAGCATGACGTTCCCGGCAGAGCCACACACGCCCGTGATCCTGATCGGCCCCGGCACGGGAGTGGCGCCGTTCCGAGCCGCCATCCAGGAGCGGGCAGCACAGGGCAAGAAAGGTGACGCTCTCCGGCCGTGCTGGGTGTGGGGAGGCTGCTGGCGGGAGCTGTACTCGGAGCGTGGGGCGCTTTGCGACTCCCCCTCCGGGTCAGCAGGGGGCGCAGCTGGGTCCTGCCTGGCCTAACGCAGCCCTGGGAAGAGGCGCCCGGCCGCCAAGCGAAGGGTTGGGGGACATGGGCTTATCCTTCCGCGGTCGCACACCCAGCCAAGCCCCTGTGGGGTCCAGGGGCTCCGTCGCCTCTCGGCCCCTCGGCCAGCAAGGCAGTGCTGCAAAAGGGCCCTGCCGGGCTGCCAACCAACTGCCGAGGTCCAACTAGTTTGGTCCAATTGTCCGCCAAGGGAAATACATTTCCATGATCTCAAAACCTCCATCTGAGCGATGTTCACGTAATTGCGGGGAGCTGTTTTCTCCTAATAGAGGCAGACACTAAATTCTAGTCAGGACGACTGCCCAGAACAATCGCTGCAGCCCACGCTCAAAGCTTTGCCTCGGCGCACGCAGAGCGCCATGTGGCCGAGGTCCTTTCCGGAGACGTGTGCGGATCAGCGCGTGTTCTGAGACCTTTCAGGTGTGGCAGTAGGGCATGTGGTCCCCTTCCGCTTCTTCAAGAAGTCCCGTCATGCTCAGAGCCGCTGTGCCTTCAGTTCGCCCCCTGAAACCGGCCAAGCCACGTTGGGGTGAAGGAGCAGCAGACCGGGAGGCCTGGCCTTGGGAAATTCCTCCGGACCGTTGAGTCATGCCCGGGAGGAAGTCGCCGGGTTCCTGACATGCCTGTGTGTGCGGGCGTTTTATTTTTTGTCAAGTCAACCGTGGGACACTTCATCCAGTGCCGCTTTGATTGTGTGCCTTTGCTAATTTTAGACCTCCAGGCATGACTTAATATTGCTTCCTTCCAGGCCTGATGGCTCAGCTAGTCGTCCTGCCCTGACCTCAGGCTCGGGACTGCTCCATTCTGGGCCAAGTCTCCTAAAGTGCCTGCCGCTGCCGAATAACCTCGGGAGCCACATACCCTCTGCGTGTGCTCAGATGCCCAGCCAGTGGCCGACGGCCATTTTTTCCACAAACAACTCTCTTTGTAAATTTGCGTAACTTAGTGTACAATCCTATGCACATTTAGACAGAAAAGAACTCTTAAAACTCGCAGTGTTCCCCAGGTAGTTGGGGAGTTACAGGGCAAAGTTTTCTGTCAAAGTTTGCCTAGAATCATACCTCTAATTTGTTGTAAGTTATTCCCGTATCCCTCATAGCAGCCTCTTATGGTTTCATCATCTTGTAAGCTTGGGAAGTTTTGGTCTCCTCACCAGCCTGTCCACAGACAGAAGCTGATCTAGACTGATTGTCTCAATCTATACCATACCCTCAATCTGACCATATATCAGACCGCATATAATTTAATCAATGCGGCCTCCCCTCTGTGCTGCTAAGGCAGGGCAGAGCTTCCCTTTTCCTTCCCTGGAATCACCGCGGCATCAAATGGCTTTAAAGAAAGACACAGATAGCCCTTGAAATCCTGTGCCACCTTTGACTGTGAGGAAGCTGCGCCCGACCTGCCCACCAAAGCTCATCGTTCAAATGGTTCACAACACCCCACCATCTTCATCGTCCCGTCTCGTCTCTTTGCAGAAAACTACCTCTTCTTTGGCTGTCGACAGAAAAGCAAAGATTTTTACTGCCAGGCGGAATGGGAAGCACTTGTGCAAAGGGGGTTCCTGACGCTCTTTGTGGCCTTTTCCCGGGACCAGGTGAGCTCCTGGGTTTCTGCGCACCCCAGGTCGGGCGGCCTGCTTCCCAGCAGAGGGTCCCTGAGCCCACTGCTAGAGCCTCCGTGGGAAGTCCTCCCGGCTGACGCAGCCCACGGCGTTGCAATCGGCAGGGAGAGACCCCCAGGCTGCCAGCATCGTAAGGCAGGCCTGGCTTGATGGACGCTCCCCTCGCGTTTGGGGCAGCAGAAGTCTGAGGCCCAGGCACGAGCCAGCGGTTGAATGTGGAGCCGCTCCAGTTCTGGACACTCCAGCTGGAGCGACAGACCCCCCCCCGCCCCCCCCCCGCAAGAGTACCCAGGCAGATGCTGGGCCTGAATAGTTCCAGGGCAACGGTGCAGTCCCGATGAGCAGCCAGGCTTTGCTTCGGGGGGGGGGCAGGGGCGGTGCTGGGGCTTCGTGCAGCCGACCTGCTCAGCCAGTCCTGCGCTTCTGTCTCTCTCGTGCTTTCTCTGTTTACCTGGAGAAGCCGGTGCCTCACCTGACCTTGGCCACACTGTTCACGGCTCTGTGCCGACCGTGACCGGGCTCTGTTCTCCACCGTCGTCCTGCTCCAGGGCCCCGCCATTCTCGCTTTGAGAGATTTGTTCCCAGCCGCGTTGTGCGCCATGTTTGCACAAGAGAAGATAAAGGCAGGGCCCAGCTTCCCCCCAGACCCCTGACTTGCTCTGTCAGAAGCATGTTCCTAGTCCTCAGGGAAATTGATGGGCTTACGGGTGAAATCTCAGATTCCTTCAGAGGAGTTGTGACACCTGCTTTCCACCAATGGCTTCCCTGTGCAGCTTCTGGTCCTCTCCTGCAGCTGGCAGTTGGCAAGGAATTGTGGCAAATAGGGAAGGTGGGGCAATCAGAGAGAAACGTACACAAGTTATTCAAGGTGCAGCACGTGGAGCCCGTTAGCTCAGCTTCGTTGTCGTGCCAAGTAAGTGCAGGCTCGGCTGGCCCAGGAAACGGTGCCCGTCCTTGGTCCCCGGTGGCGTCAGGCGCTGCCTGCCTCCTGCCTGTGAGCATCTGAAGGCACCACGCCAGTGGCCTGGCCTCTGCTTGCCTGCAGAAGGCTCCCCTCCCGTCCTTGCAGAGCCCCCTCAAGAGAAGACCCCCTGGCCCGGGGAGGGGGCAGGCGCCCTTCCTCTGCCCAGCAGCCGCCGCTGCCGCCGGTCCAGAGTCCGCAGCAGCGACTTGGCCCACTGAGTGTGGCTCCCCTGCTGCCCTCCCCGCCTGGAGCTCTGAAGGAGGCCTGCTGACGTGCTTGCCCGGGGGAGCTGCGTGGGCTGGATGCCCGTCGGTTCTCCTCTGGAAGGAGCCTGGCACCGGCTGGAGCGAGGCTCCCAGGCCGGCTCCCTCCCGATCTGCCCCTCCGCCCCCTCTCCCGGGACGTGCTGGCCGGGTTGCCTCCCTCGCCGGTGTGACTTGGCTCTGGCGAGGAGCCAGGTGAGGCATCCGAGGCACGGATGGATGGAGGCGAGTGGGACCCACGCCCACCTTCCGGCCGGCTTGGTTGTCCTGAGAGTATGCAGCTGACCTGAGTGTACTTTGAACTCACCTGAGCAGCCATCCCGACTCCGGGCGTAGTTTGGCTTCCCTCCCTTCCCTGGCTTCTGGTGTGCAGGAACAGGTTCTAGTTACTGCTCAGCTAGGAGGCTAACTGGGTGATTTTAATCCAGCCACGGACTCTCAGCCTAAGCTTCCTCCCAGGTGGTTGTTGCGAGGATCGAATGGAGAGGATAACCCTGTAGGCTCTCTCGGCTTCCTTGCAGAAGGCAGGGAAGGGCCGTGTAGAAACGTCAAGGAATCAAAATTTAAAGGTTTCTGTGTGTGGTCCTGGTCACCAGCTAGTTGTGGGGAGGGGGGTATTTTGGAGGAATGGACTCCAAAAGGAGAGGGATGAGACCCCCCCCCCACCATTCCCACAGGGTCTCCGCAAGGCGTCGCTCCATCGTAGCCCCTTTGTCTCTCGGCTTGGGAGTGAGGATGGGGTCGCAGCCGGCTGGCGAGACGTCCGTGTCCCTGCAGCTCTGGCCAGCCACAGACCAGCCTTTGCGTGGGAATGAGAGCCGGGGGCCCTTCCCTCGCCTTACGGTCGCCCTCAGGAAGGGTGGCTTTTGCACGGCACGGCATGGCACGGCACAGGTCGGGGTGCATCGGCGTCCGTGTGGTCCTCTTCCCCACAGGAGGAGAAGGTTTACGTCCAGCACCGGATCAGGGAGAACAAGGTGCTTGTCTGGGACCTGCTGAGGCGCGGTGCCCACGTCTACCTGGCTGGGTGAGTGCTGGCGCACGAGAGCCTCTCCCGCCCGCCCAGCAAGGCGGTGCCTCCACTTGCCCTGGCCCAGTGGCCAGCAGGCTGAGGTAGCTCGCCTGAGTCGATGTGGGGGTGCCCAGGCCCCCCTCGGCGGGCATGTGTGGAAGAAGAGCCCCCTCTGGCTCCTCCGAGGCCTGCGGCGTTTCCCCGGGTGTCCTGGCATTTCAGAGCAGCCGCGGGCCTGGCCCAACGGGCCACGGTCCGGGCCATCTGGCCCTTGGCCGGGGAGGCTTCTGCCAGGGTGGGCTTGGAAGTCTTCCGCTGCTACGGCCCCCTCAGGCCAATTCCCTGAGATTTCTGTGGCGGGGGGCTGAGTCCCTCAGAGCTCGGCGTGGAGCCTGCGGCAGCCGCCTTTGCTTCCCGGTCCTCCGGCGCGTGTGCCCCCCCTGCCCCGCAGCTGGCGAACCTGAGCGAGCGCTGGCACACGCCCGTCCGCCCTGATCTGAGGAGGAAGCCTCCGTTCCCCCCCCCCCCCGGCCTCAGGGTGGGGCCTGTGACGTGGGCTGTTCCCGGGTGAACTGGTTCCCTCACATTCCTGGAAGCAGAAAAAGGCCTCCAGGAAGCCAGCGGGTGTGTCGGCCAAGCAGGCAGCTTGCGTGTCTGGAGCCTCCGTCTCCGGGGAGCGGGAGAAGCGTTCCTGAAAGGGACGGAACCATCCGCGCAACTTCAGCCTGAGAACGCAGCTGCGGGTCGGAGCCAGAAAGGGGCTTCCGCAAAGCGCTTTGCTACATTTACTTTTTCCCTTTCCTGTTTCAAAAAGTGCGTTTCTGGCCGGTCCCTGTTAACAGAAATAGCGGTGAAGCAGGGTCTAGGAAGTCTCCTGGGGGCTTTCCCACGTTCTGGGCAAACGGGGCGAGTGGCGAGCCTCCGGGGCAGCAGCGTTCGCTATGTACCACTGAAGCAAAGATGTCAGTTGCCTGCCTTGAATTTCAGCCGTACTTCTGTGTGGCCGGCTGTCCTTCGGCTGCCCTCCCTCAACGGGGGTGCCCCTCGCACAGCGCCCCCGAGAGGCAGGCTACAGGGGGAGAGGACCGTTGGGAAGCAAGGTGCAGGTTAGGTGACGATGCTCTCACGGACCAGAGGATACTTCCAGGATATCCAGACCGTGCCCCACTTCTTGGGCCCTCTACTGAAGGTCCACCCCCACTGAGTAGTCTGGTCGGGGAATAGCCCCCATCTTGGCGCTCCCAGCCCTTGCCACCGCTTCTCTCTCCGCCCAGGGGCCAGCCTGGCACGGTCAGGGGCGCTGGGAGCGCTCATGCTGGCGACCCGGAGAGCTGCGCCTGCCAGCCGGGGCCGTGTTGTTCCCGGGCACGGCGACCGCCCGGGATGAGGCCACTCGTGCTGTTTCTGTGTTCCAGAAATGCCAAGCAGATGCCCGAGGCGGTGATGGAAGCCCTGAGGTTTGTGTTCCAGGCAGAGGGCGGCCTCTCTGCTCCGGAAGCCGCAGAGTACCTGGCTGCCTTGGAACGGACCCGCCGCTTCCAGGCCGAGACCTGGGCTTGAGTTGCCACGGATGGACGGGACAGGCGCCTGGCCTGGCACCGAGCAGCTGTCGCCCAAGTCGGCTCCCGCACCCAGGTTGTGACCAATAAATCTTGGCTGGGACCACACTGCTGGATTCAAGGCAGCTTGGCTTCTGGATTTTGGGCCGTGCAGGGAAGTGACAGCTGCCGAGCCACGAGCCCAGGCAGCGCTGTCATCTTGCTGAAGCAGAGCGAGGGCTCACTGAGCCAGATTCTGACTGGAGACCCCCCCCAGAGCCAGAAAGCCACAGCCCCCCATTCCTGGAGTCGAGAACACAGAGATAGACTGCCTCTGTCCACAGAGGTTCTGCTGGACTGTTGCTTTAGACGGGTAGCCTGACCCATTAGCCCAGGCACCTCGTTGTGCGGGAGGAGAGGACTCGGCCCCAATATCAGAGTTGGATGGGGAATGAAATGAAGGGCAGAGTAAAATGGGGGAAATACGGAGCAGTCGCTGTTGCGGGTGCCGAGCGGCCTGGCTCAGTCCGTCCTTCCGGGCTTAGTCATGCCCCACGGCCGCAATCCTACACTTGTTTGAGCAGACAGAGGGCCTGCAACTTCTGGCGTTCCCCGGGAGCGGCAGGGCGTTTGTCTGCCTAAACATGCCCGGGATCGCTCCCAAAGTGGCGGCTCCCCGTGCTGGCAGGGTTGCTGTCCAGCTGCGAGCCGTGCCTCCCCCTCCAAAGCTCGCGCACACTCGTTCGGTGGGCGCTCCTGGCGCGAGGTGGCATGCTGGACCGAAAGCGCCGCGGATCCCCGAGAGCGGCTCTGGCGGGCAGCGGTGCCAAGCGGGGCAGTCCCTCCTCCTGGAAAGGCAGCGCCTGCGAGCGCCAAAGGGGAAGCACGCTTTCCAGCGAGGGCTCAGTCCTTGGCAGAAATAGACCTGCACAAGCGCCGCCAGGCAGTGCCGCGGACTGTTTGCGAGATCGCAGGGGTGGGGGGTGAGCCGCATGGAGCCCGGCCCGGAAGGACGGACCTGCAGCCTCAGCCCCGCCCACCGGCCCGGGGCAGGCAGCCGACTGGGACCCGTCCCGCCTCACCTGTGCGCCTCCCTCAGTGCGACACGCACGGGCTTGCCCGCAAGGTGCTGAGCCGGCCCGGCCGCTGCCTGCCTTCCAGCTGGCCACCGCACTGGGCTGCGCGCCGGGCCTGGCGGGAGCTCGGGGGGGCCCAGCCCAGAGGGTTCGCCACACAGCCCTTCAGCAGGCGGCACGAGGGCGGGTGGCCTCCCGGCGGGCGAGCCCGGCCCATCCCCGCGGAGTTTCCGGGCAAGCCTCCAGCGTGGGAGGATGGGGCCATGCAGCTGGCCTGCTTCCCTGGCCGTGAGCAGCACAAGGTCGCCGTGCCAGCCAGGTGTGGCCGCCGGAGGCCCGGACGCGTGCCGCCGCTTACCTTGAAGCATCTCCTGAGGTCAGCATGGGAACGAGCCGCCCCAACGCGGAGGGAGTCCTTCCCGCAGAGCAGCCGCCGCCCGTGCCCAGCGAGCCCCCGGTGTCCCCGTCTCGCACCCCTGGGCAGGATGTGGCACAGCAGCAGGCCCCGGCCTCCAGCACGCCCACGGATGCGGAGGGCGAGGAGGCCGGGCGCGCGCGTGACGGAGGGACGTGCATCCCGCGGCGTGGAGGGGCCCGGCGGGAAGGCCGCCCTGTGTCCCCCGGGAGCCCTGAGGCGGAGTCGTGCTGCAGCTGGCCCGCGGGCTGTGGGGACAGGCCTCCGGGCGAGCCCCGTGCGGCTCCAGGGGGCTCTCCGGCCCCCGGCCCTCCGGAGCCGCCGTGGCACCCTTCCGCCCCCACAGAGGAGACCGGCCACATTGTGCTCGCCCTGGAGGAGGGCGGCCCCCGGGCTGCCCCCGGCCCAGAAGCGCCTGCGGGAGAAGAGGACGAGGAGGGCACGGAGCAGGGCGCGCTCCTCCCGGGCAGCCCCGAGCCGGGGGCCGCGGAGCCGTCCTGCTGCATTCAGGCCGAGGACGGCGGCGAGCGCGAGTGCCCGATCTGCACGGAGCTGTACGACTCTGGCCCCCGCCGGCCGGCCCTGCTCAACTGCGGCCACGCGCTGTGCGGCCAGTGCCTGCACGCCATCATGGCAGCCGGCAGCGCCGCGGACATCGGCCGCATGCGCTGCCCCATGTGCCGCCAGAAGACGCCCATGATGGAGTGGGAGATCGCCCGGCTGCAGGAGGAGCTGCTGCTGCTGAGCTCGGCGCCGGGGCCGGCCCTGGCGCCCCCCACCCCGCACCTGTTGCCGGCCCGGCGGCCGGGCTTCTGGGGGGGCCTGGAGCACCACTTCCAGGTGCGCTTCCACACCGGCCGCGCGGTCGGCTTCCTCCCCTGCCTGCGCTACCCGCGCTGCCTGGTGGGCGGCCTGGCCCGGCTGCGGGAGGGCTGCCGCCCGGGCTACCTGCTGGTGCTGCTGGTGCTGCTTGGGGCCGAGATGCTCAGCCTGCTGGTCTTCTTCCTGCCCCTTGCGCTGCTGCTGCTGGTCTTCCTCTTCCTGGACAGGTAGGGGCTGCGGGCCTGGCGGCTCGGCTCTGCTCGGCTCGGCTCGGCTCGGCTCGGCTCGGCTCGGCGCCTGCGAGGAACAGGCTGGAGAGGACGCGGCTCCCGAGCAGGACAGGATGGAGCCGTTGAGTCAGTGCTGCCGGCGCTCCCCAGGGGCCCTGGTCCTCCCGAGCGCCGGCAGGACCAGCCTTCCCAACTTCCGAGCAGTGGCACAGGGGCTTCGGACCCCTTGGCAGGAACACTGCTCCTCTTCCGCTTGCCAAAGGACTAGAGACTGGGGTAGCCCCCCACTTGCGGACCCTGGTGCACTTTGGTGGGTCCGGACCATGCCTGGGGAAGGGCTACCCCCAGAGGTCGCCGGTCTGTGGAAAGGAAGGGCAGGGGTCTCGGAGGGAATTCGTGTGGCAACTGCCCAGTGGACGCCGGGCGGCGCTGGAGTGGAGAGGGAGCCCAGGCGGGGGCCAAGGGAGGATCCGCCGTGGCATCGGGGCTGCCGCGTCTCGCCCTCTTGCGCGTGCGAGGCAGGCCAGAAAGAAAAGAAGCGCTTTGCCCGCATCTGGTTTGTGGCTCACGTGGTTTTATTCCTGTTCGTGCTGTTTGTCGAGGGGGGTCTTGTAGGCACCCCGGCCCTGATGGCCCGGCCAGGGGACAGTCGGCAGGGGCAGGTAGAGCAGGCCCCACTCCTCTCCCAGGGGGCTGGGCTTGCACGGCACAGCGCGGCCTGCCCACCCTTGGAGGAAGGGGGAGGCACGCAATCCTCCGGTGGTCAGGTTTTGGCGTGGCCGGCGGCCTCAGGAGCAGCACCTTCCGTGGCGGCAAAAACAGCCCCCCCCCCCCCCCGCAGGCTGCACCCTAACGCTGGCAGAAGCGCTTGTGGCGTGTGTCAGGCGCGCTTGCTTCTGATGGCGGGTGCCAGTGGCCACGGGGGCCAGGATATCTCCGTTTGGCCCCGAGGTGACACCAGGCCTTGTCCGGGCGCCTGCTGTCCTCGGCGTGCCCACAGGGTCCCTGCGGCAGGATGGGTGCGAGGCCTGCTCTGGCTCCGCAGCAGCTGGTGTGTGCAGGCCGGCCGGCCGCCTCGGGTTGTGGGGGGAGCCTGGGCCGCTGCCCACGGCCTGCACCTGCTGGACCTGCCCAATCCCCTTTGAAAGCCGCCCAGATGGGCGCCATCACTGCTTCCCGTGGCAGCTTGAATGTGCGCCGTGTGAACAAGGGCCCCCTTTGAGCCGTCCTGAGCCGTCCTCAGCTTCACGCGATGACCCCTTTTGGCTGGAGTGTCCGGAGGGAGAGAGAGAGACCCCCCCCTTTCCCCGGGCCAGGCATTGCTTCAAACCGCCCTCATCCCCACCCACCCTTTTCCGAAGCTGTGCAGCCGGGCAGCTCCCTCGTGCACTGCAGCCAGTGTGGCTGTGCAGGCACAGCGAGGGCTTTGTGGGCGGGCCGCCTGCGCTGCAGCCCCCAGCCCCCCGCCGGCTGCCTGGGCCTCTCCGCAGCGCCAGGAGAGCGGGGCCCAGCGCTGCCCACGCGGGCAGGACGGCTCCGGAAGCAGCGCCGGCCAGCCCAGCCCAGCCGAGGCTTCTGGGCCGGGTGCTGCCGAGCCGTTGCGTGGCAACGCGGGGAGCGCTGCAGAACCAGCCGGGGAAGGATGCCGCCAGGGAGCCCCTTCCTCCTGCTGAGCAGAGAGGGAGGCTGCGTGGGGCAGCATCTTCCCCGGGTGCCAGCCGAGCCGAGCATCCACACCCACTCACCTCTCCTCGGCGGGCTGCCTCCCACATGCACGGGAAGCCGTGTCCTGGCACATGGGGGAGGGGTCGGGACGGGGGATCCGGGCTCCCTGGCATGCCCCCCCTCGCTCCCACAGCCTCCGGCCAAAGCCGAGAAGCTTCGGCTGGGTCCCAGGCCATGCACGTGCTGCTCCGCACGGCATCCATCCCCTTCCCTGGGCTGCTCGCGTGCAGGCACAGGGGCCGGGTCTCTTCTGCCCATGCCAGAGGCTGCCTGAGCCAGCATTGCCGGGGGGGGGGGGGCTGTTTCTCCCCCTTGCACAAAACCAGGCTAGGACAGCACAAAGCATGGGTGAAGGCTTCACCCTGAGAGGAGAAGACCAGGGCGAGGCAGGAGAGCGCTTTTCCAGAACGGAGGGAGACCAGGATCTCTTCTTGGCATCAGGAGGACTGTCCTGACCGCCAGAGCAGCAGGCGCTGGACCCGTGACCAAGAATGCCCCGCGGGAGGCGTCCAGGAGGCAGCTGGAGCATTGACGGGCCTGCATTCCCTGATGCTATGAAAGAGTTCGAATCAAACTAGAGTGAAAGCGCGGGAACATCGATCCACCTGTGAAGTAAAGGCAAGATTAAAAACAGAGAAGTAAGACAGCCTCAGAAACTGTGCTCAGAAAGGCCAGAGTAGCTCTGAGCATGTGCAAAGCACCTTCCTGCCCAACATCATCACAGTGATCGACAAGGTGCGTGTGGCTGTGTCGGCAGATATTTCAATAAAAGCAGCAAAGACCTGAAAAAGCAGCCAGGAGGAGGTGCGGCGCGATGCATGGGGTTCTGGTCAGGAAGCAGAGGCGTCCCCCAGGGCTTGCATCCTGTGTCCCCGGGCTCGCCGCCCCCCGCTTTGGCCACACACCACAGCCCTGCGCTGCCCTTGTGCCGCCATCAGCCTCTCGGCTGCTCGGTGGCTGCCGGCCTTCGCTTCCAGGAGCTGCCGACCGCAGCTTCCTCCTCGGACCAGCCTCCTCCGCCGGCCTTCGCCACAGCTCTCCTACCACATTACAGCTCAGCGGCACAAGCCCCGACTCCCTTTTCCTATCTCGTCATCGGGTTGAGGAACAATTTGCAAAAGAGTCCGGGGTGGAAGGGGTAAAACAACCGCCTTTCTTTCCCAAGTTGGATGCACTGCTTGGAGCAGTCGAACTGTTTTTTCACGGAAGCTTCAATAGGACCATGTCCTTAATGTCCCACTCAGGGAAACTTGAGCCTGGCAACTCACCTGGACGTTGAGCAAGGCACCCCCAAGAGTCAAGCTCAGCAGGAGCGACTCCTGGGGGGCTAGAGATCAGCCGCTGACCCGGGCCATGTGGCCCTGTCCCGCCATGGGCCAGCCGAGGCATCAGAGAGGTCAAGAAAGCGGATTGGGGTCCCTTAAGAAATCCGATCCCAAAGCCACCACATCCGGCAAAATATTTCTCGCCGTGCCCTGCCGGCACCGCACCACCTCCGGATGCCCACGCATTTGCCAGCTATTTCCAAATTGCGCCTTGGGAAACTGGTTTGCCTTCCTGTTTTGCCCGGTGGCTTCCCGCCGGAGCGCTTTCCTGTTTGCGTGGCCTTTCCTTCCTGGCTTCAGGCAGGCAGGTGTGCCTCCTGCACATGGAGGACCAGGCGCTCACCTGTGCCCACAGAGCTCCGCATGGCCCTCCGGCTCATCCGGAGCACCGCCGCCTCCTGCAGGACGCAGCCCCTCCAAGGAAAGATGGGCAGGGAGGCGCGAGGCCTCGCCAGCGGAAGAGCGCCCATCTGCCGCCTGCCGTGGCCCTGCGCTGCTGGCTCAGAGGAGTGGGCGGAGGCTGTCCGGCCAGGAGCACCAGCCGGCAGGAGCCGGGGCAGCGGGGACGGGCAGGCGCACTTCAGCGCTGCTGGCTGGGGCATGCGGGAGCCGCAGGGCTCCTTCCTGGCTAACCACACAGGAGTGTGCTCCAGATGCGCCCGCCCCTCGCAGGCCCTGCTCCCTTTCTGCAATGCAGAGGCATAATTCTGCACCGATTTCCAGTTTGCTGGGGAGATGAAGCCTCTACTTGTGAAATGCTCGGACAATGGAACTGAGGTCACCCCAGTGCCGAGTTCTGCGGGTCTAAGAGGAACTAGGAAAACAGGGTCAGACCAGAGTGGCCCCTTCCAGTCCTGGATCTTTCCTCCCACAGGGGCAAGGACTCCAGATCCCCAAAGGGAGGTCCACAAAAGCCCTTCCCAGGTGCTTAATTTGCAGCAGCAGAAACCCTAATCCAGGTCGTCTGGGGAAAAGCCTTCCGCACCCCCCAGAAGCCCCTTCCTTTATTCCAGGCCTCCCGTGAGTGCCAAGTGTACTCTGCACTGGCTCAAGGGCATCTTCATCTATTCATATACCGCACCCCTCCACATCCCCCCCACCTCCAGAACCCACCCGCCCCTCCTGTGCCATGAGACAACCCGAACGAGATGGCTCAGCACGTGACTTTTTGGTTCAGAAGTATAATCTTTATTTGGGCGATCTGGTAGGGGGTTAACAAGGCCAGGTATAAAACGGGTGGGGGCAGCTGAAGAAACAGGCAGGGCGCGAGGGGGGTGAGCCGGGAGGGAGGCGGCACCAGCGGGTTGCCTGGGCAGGCGGCTGCAGTCCCCTCCCGTGCCCGGCCCGAGAAGAGCCCTCCCGGCAGCCCCGAAAGGTGTGAGCCGAGGCTTTCTCAGCAGGAGCCCCAGCGCTTCCCCAGGGCACACACGTGGCTTGGAAATCCACCTCCGCCTGGCATGCGTGGGGGCCGCACACAGCTCCTCGGGGGGCTGCTGGGCCCCATGAGCTGCATCCATCCTGCGAGCCAGCCCCAGAGGTGTAAAAAATGTTGCTTTTGCCCACCTTTCTCAGGACTTTTGCCCAAAGCCCCTCACTCTGACAGGCCCACGATGCCCCTTTGGAGTCGGGGCCATCCGGAACCAGCTCCCGACAGCCCCTTCCCTTCCCCTGATCCGTCGCCACGCTGCTTGGCGCCTGCCCTCTCTGGCTTTTGGGCTCGGTGGCACGCCGGGCTCTCCTCAGCCAGCCGTGGGCCATGCTGTCGGACCCAGTGAGACGCGGGGTGGGGGACGCATCCCTTTCAGCTGGCTTCTGGCACAGTTTGTGTGGCACATCGATCCAGAGCTGCGCCTGCCCAGCCTCGCAAGGAGAACCCTCCCCCAGCCCCCCAGGGGTGTGGAGCCGAGCACCCACCGAGGGGCCCCTGCGGCCTACCACGCTCTGTGTCTAGTTCAGGCTGTTTGCCGGGTGCCTAGCAAACACATTATGGCTTTTTTTCTCAGCTGGCGGAAAACGTTGACCCCAAAAGAGCACAGCCTGCGAGAGGAAGCGGGCAGCCTGCTCTCTCCCCGCCGCCCCCCACGATCCAAGCAAGCAGCCAGACCGAGTGTGTACTGGGAGAAGCAGGTGCGATTCCCTCCAGCCAGGAGGCAGGTCTTTCTTGTGGACCGGCACGTCTCTGCGCACCGTGCGCGTCTGACACAGCAGGGTGCCCACTGCTGCGCTTTGGAGTAACTTGCCCCAGTTCACTGCTGAGATCACACGCGTTGGGGGAAAGAGCGGGGCGAGTGTAACTGAGGGGAGAATGCAGCCCGCTGGATCAGGGCCACTTTGCAGGCCTGGGCGTGCCTTTCCTCTTTCCCAGTGCGGACCCAACCCAAGAAGGATAATGGCACTCTCCATCCGTTTTATTTGACAGCAAGAGCCAAGCAAGATGCACCTCTGAAACAGCAACGAGGAACACGAATCCTCCAAAACGAGGACTAAAAAACACTTTTCTCGCTTCCCTCCAGAACCTACTTCGGGGAGAGCAGGCAGTTCCAGGCGGAGGTCCGGTGGCCCACTCCCTCTTGATTGGCAGCGATGGTTTGGGCGCACGAGACTTGGCCACAGGAACAGAAGCTTTGGCAATAACTTAAAAACGGGAGCCCGAGTCGGCCGGCCACGCAGGCCCTGCCTGGCGTCCCTCCCGTGGGGCTCCTGCATCCCACCACGTCCGCGGGCAGCTCCTCTTCCCTCCAGCGGCTCCCCTGTCGGTGCCATCAGCCCCGGTGCAGCCACGCAGCCCGGCTGGGACCCTGTGCCATGAGCCAAGGGAGGGATCGAACGCTGCCCATGGAGAGGCGACCGGGGCACAGAGGAAGAGTGGGCGAGCCGCAGGGCACGGCCAGGGGCTGCACGGATGCGCTGACCGGTCTCCACGGCTCCTCCTGAAGGCTCTCCCTCGACCCCCGGCTCCCCCTTGGCCAGGGGCGCCGCGCTCTCTTCTCCCGACCAGATGCACAAGGACTCGCCCGGGGAGGGCGCTGGGCACAAAGGCAAGTCTGCAGCCGGGCAGCGCCTCCCTCGGCATCGGATGCCAGCTCCCTCTTCCCACGCCGCAGCCCCCTCGCCCGGGAGCGGCGGAAGGGCCTGGGGGCAGCCGGGGGGGCGGCGGCCGCCACCTACATGATGGTGCAGGAAGACAGCGGGTTCCGGACGTGGCAGGTGCACGCCGCGCCGCAGTACTGGCGGAAGGTCTGGTAGCAGCTGCGGTCGGCGTCGCTGCTCCACGGCGCGGGGGTGGCGGAGAGGGCCTCGGCGGGCAGCCGGCCCAGGATGCTGGTGTTCACGGCCAGCGCGGCCAGCCCGTAGTCGGTGAACAGCACGGTCTCCCTGCGGCAGGTCGGGCACGAGATGAACTTGTACTTGGGGCACGACTCGTACAGGATCTGCAGGCACTCTTCGCACACGGAGTGCAGGCAGGAGAGGATCCGCGGGCGCTTGTTGGTGAAGTTGTACGTGTGGCCGCAGGTGGGGCACTCCAGCGGCTCGCACGGTGTGGCCGGGCGCAGCACGTACTGGTTGACGATCACCTCGTCCGCGGGCGCCGGCGGCTGGCGGTGGTAGCGGATGTCGGAGCTGCCCTTGCGCTGCCCCTGGTACAGCCGCTCACGCCGGGGCGGGGGGGGCGTCCGGGAGAGCCCCCGCGGGGCCGGGCTGCCCTCCAGGGCCGGGATGTCCCCGCAGGCCTGGTTGACGATGATCTCCGACTCAGAGGGCCAGGCCCGCTTGGCCACCAGCGAGGGCTCGCGGCGGGGCGCGGGGACGTAGCGCGGCGGGGCGCTCTGCAGCTCCGAGAACTTCTCTGGGTGGATTATCTTCATGGCCTCCATCTTGAGGATGACCTGCTGCCCCTTCAGACATGACATGAGGAGGTTCTTCACGCGCCCGTCCGCGGCTCCGGCTCCGGCTCCTCCGAGGGCCTCCTGCATGAGGCTAGACGGCATGGGCGGCAAGCCGGCCTTTGAACCGCGCGCGGGCCGAGAGGCGGCAGTGCTGGAGGAGGCCGCGGGAGCGGGGGCACATCCTGGAGGGCCGGGCGTGGCGGGGCGCCGTCAGGGCGGGCTGCACCGCGGGGCCGGGGGAGCCGCGTGCATTCCCTGCGGGGCCGGCCGGGGGCGAGAGGCGCGTGGGAGACGCTGCCGCAGGCGGTGGGGGCGCTGGAGTGGGCGCCGGTCGTCACCCGAGGCGCAGCGCCTTGTGGCCGGGAAAGCGGCCTGCGGGCTGGCCAGAGGTGGAGCCCGGGGGCCGTGCCGCTGCGGGCCAGCTGGGCCTTCTCCCCGCAGGCTGTGGGACCCCAGCCCTGCTGCTGTAGGGCAGAGCCTCAGCCGCCTCCCTGGGGGGAGCGCTTCGAGCGCCCGTGCTGCGCTCCGTCCCCCTCCTCCGCAGGCCTTGATTCCTGTTTACATGTGAGGAGATCCCGGCAGGCCTCAAGAATGTGCTTTGGAATTCCTGAGCTTCGGCTGCACTCTCTCCCGCTCTCTCTCTCCCCCGAGCTCTGGTCACAGCTGTCCAGAGTCCACGCCCCGAGGGAAGGGGTGGCGGAAGGGGCTGCCGGTGGAGGACACCCTGCTCAGGTGCGGGCAGCCGGCTTGCTCCCGGGGTCTCCGGCGTCTTCCTGCGGGGCAGGCTCAACCTGAAAGACAAAGCAAGCCATTCTGAACAACCTGCCAGGCCCGGTGGGCCGAGATGGCACGGCAGCACAGCATCATCGCCCCTCCCGTGCCTGCTTCAGCTTCTCGCAGTGCAGGCGCCTGGGGACCCACAGTGCTGAACAGCTCCAGAAGGAAACGGGCTGCGGATGGAAGGCAGCTGTGCCCACTGAGCACCCCCCCCACAAGTCGTTCCAGTACTTGAGACGCTTCTCCAGGCTCCCTCTGCTAGCAACATGTGTGTCCTGCCTTTCAAGGCAGCCCACATAATGTGTGGAAACAACAGTCCTGTGAGGTAGGCAAGGCTGAGGGAGGGAGGGAGTGAGGGAGACTGACATTCACCAGCGGCTGGGCTTGGGGGAGGTACCGGCGGCGGCTGCAGTTTCTCACTCTGCAAACGTCAGCAGCCCATGACTGCAGCGCTCCCGCGTCACAGGCGCCTCTGACACCCCACAGCGAGCACAGGCCAAGTTTCCATGCTCCGCCAGCACTTCTTCTGTGGTTGGAAACACAACGCACCAGCACAGGGGCGCCACCTGCGATCCCGTCCCCGCACCCTCCCCGGCCACCTGCAGCTGGCTGGCTTCCCTGCCTCCCCTCCAGGGTGAGCTCACGGGTGGCGGTGCCCGCAGAGGAGCCCCGGCGATCCCGGATGGCCCCCTGCGGGCGCTTCCCCGCCTCCCACGACTGCCAGGGTGGCCATCCGGTCGAACCCCGGCTTGTGTCCTGACAGTGGGCACAAGGCCACCGAGCCTCTCCCCAGCCACACCGAGGGGCTTGGCAAACAGCCGCGTCTTCAGGGCCAGCCCCACACCTGCAAGTTGGGGGTCAGGAACAGCAGCACTGGCACAGACGTGATCCAGGGCGCATATTTCTGAACACTTGAAATCTCCATAGAGGCAGCCAGAAAGGAAATGAAACCTGGATGGGAGCAAGTTAGGGCGCTTTTGGCCCATCTTTTTTTGTTAGGATGGGAGCTTGTAAGTCACTCAGGCCTCCTCTGCTTCAGGCTGAATTTTATTTTCCCGAACATCAGGAAACCTCCGGTAAAGAAAAATCAGATATCATTGTCCCAGCTGCTTGAGTGTTTGAAGCCGGGCCTGGTTAGACTTCCTCCCCACAGCAGTGTCTGCAGCGTTTCCGTCTCCAGAGAACAGACGTACGAGCGGAGAGAGGTGGCAGTTTTTCAAAGGCATGGTGAAGGCATCAAACCCCAAGCCGTGCGAGCTTTCTTCTTTGGTTCTGCTGTGGAACTTGCTCAAATAGGTTCTTCGGGTTTTAAAATAGCACCAAACCTCTTTAGCAGAGGTGAAAGTGGTTACACACGAAATCAGCAAGCCTGCTTTCAAACTGCTTTTATCTCTCTGGGAAAAACACACACCAAAGGTTCTCATCTTTTTTCCACCCAAGAGGGAAAAGGCGCGTAGGTGGCTCAGGCAAAACCCTCTATGTTTTGGACCACACTTCCCATCAGTCCCAGCCAGCAAGGCCAATGGTCAGAGATTGTGGGATTTGTAGTCTAAAACAGTGCAGTGCCCACCCATGAAGCTCCATATTCGTGAATATCTCTCTCTTTTTCTCTCAGTCTTGCCTACCTCACAGGAATGTTGTTTCTACACTGTATGTGGGCCACCTTGAAAGGGGGACGTACACGTTGCTAGCAGAGGGAGCCCGGAGAAGCATCCAAACTGTTGGAACGATTTACGGTTGGCTCCACAGCTGGCTACAGATTTGGGACTTAATTGCTCCTTAACTGCACCTTCTCAGCTTGGGGGAAGGTAACGCGCGTGGGGCCCTTTGATCCATGGCACGGATGAGGACATGCAGGAAGTGCCCGCCGTTTTTGAAGATGACAGACAATGGGTGGGGTGGCTCTGACCCTGGGAGACAGGCGCAGACTAGTCATCTGGATAGGCTGGGGCGCTGGGAATGAATGCCGCGCCCCCGCACCAGGAACCAAATGCCGTTATGGGATGGAGGGATTTCGGAATTGCCGAAGATCACGAGCTGCATATGAGCCAGCTGCGTGAAGTGGCTGCAAAAACTAGACCGGGCTGCAGGAATGGAGGTACAGCTTCCGAATCATGGGAAGGGTTAGCTCCCCCTTGCTCTGCCCTAGTTCGGCCTCATCTTGGGTCCTTTGCCCAGTTCCGGGCCCTGCAGTGCAAGAA